CTGGGATCGCTGCCGGCGAGGAGCCCAGTGAGGGGCGTGGTCAAGGTCGGGGGGCGTGGTCAGGACAGTGGAGGGGCGTGGCCGAGAGGAGCAGCCGCCCCAGAGCCGCTGCGGCCGTTGCCGAGGCGCCAGCCAATGGGAGGGCGCGTTGCTGGGAGGTGGCAGCCAATGGCCGCGCGCGTTGCTGTTGCCGGGCGGCCCGTACCGGCCGTCCCGCGGCCGTCCCGGGGCGATGCCGGTCCCGGCTCTGCCGGGCCATGGAGATCCGCTGCGGGGGTCTCCTCTTCAGCTCCCGCTTCGACTCAGGGAACCTGGCGCACGTAGAACAGGTGCGGCCTACGGAGCCGGGGGGCGGCCCCGCCGCCCGCGCCAACGCTCTCCCCGCCGCCGACTACGAGTTCAACGTATGGACGCGGCCCGACTGCGCCCACACTGAGTATGAGAACGGCAACAGGTACTGGCGGGCGGGGGAACCGGGAAGGGGCGACTGGTACCGTGCGGAGGGGCTGGGATCCAGATGGATTCCCCCGGGAGAGGTTCTGGCGGAGCCCCAGGAGTGGTTGGTGCGGTGTGGGGCTGGGGCTGGGGAAACCGGTGGTGTCAGAGATGCCTTGGGGAGGGGGCTCGGGGGTGTCTGTGCCCTCCGCGGGGGGTCTGACAGGCTCTGGCGGGACTGGGTGGTACCGGGTAGGGGTGGGTGCCTCGGGAAGAGGGAGCGGTGGGGCTGGAGGTCTGAGGAAAGGGGCTGGGGGAGGCAGCGGGGTCAGAGGTGCTCAGGGAGTGGGATCAGGGTGTCTGGTTCCGTCCCCCGGCAGGGCTCTGACAGACCCTGTGGGGCCGAGTGGGTGGAAGAGACACCGGAGAGCTCGGGGACCCCCGGGCAGGGGCTGAGCCGGTGCCGCTCCACTCTGCTCCAGGTCCTGGTTCTACTTCAGCGTGCGGGGGGGGGCCCCGGGGAAGCTGATCAAGCTGCACATCCTGAACATGAACAAGCAGAGCCGGCTGTACGCGCAGGGCATGACCCCCTTCGTGCGCACCCTGCCCGTGCGCCCGCGCTGGGAGCGCATCCGGCAGCGGCCCAGCTTCCAGGTGAGAGCCTGGAGTGCTCCCCGTGCCATAGGTGGGTGGGGGGCAGGCAGGCACGGACCCTGTGCTCGGGGTAAGGCCAGCTCTAGGGGCACAGCCGCCCTTGGCTGCCTGCCCTGGCATCTCCAAGGGAGGGATAGGAGCAGCAACAGCTGCTATGACATGGGGATAGCCAAGGGCCAGTGGCCACGGGCACCCCCAATGCCTGGTGGGGGCCAGAGGAGAGCAGCAGGGGCTGTGCTAGGCTGGCTGTGCCCCTGAGCCCGTGCCCAGCCCTCTGCATGTCCGTGGCAGGTGGTGGAGACGCAGTTCGTGCTGTCCTTCGTGCACCGCTTCCTGGAGCACCGCGGGGCCACCACCTACTTTGCCTTCTGTTATCCCTTCTCCTACACGGAGTGCCAGGACATGCTGGCACAGCTGGATGGCCGCTTCCAGGACTGCAGGCACATGTCCCCCAGCAGGTGTGCCCCCACTTCCTCCTTCCTGGCTTTTGTCCCACCTTCCTAGCCCTCACACCTTTCCTGGTCTGTGCCTGCTTGGGTTTTTTGCCCTGGGGAAGCTCTGTCTGCAGCAGGAGGGTTTCTGTCCTCCCCAGAGCTGCCTAGCCCATGCTTCTCTGCGCCCTAACTCTGCACAAGCAGTGGCAGCAGCTTGCTCTGAGCTACCCACGGGGTTCCAGAGGATCCCTTATTGTTCTGGAGCCCAGTCCCTCCTGCCAGAATGGGTTATCTCTCTGGTGGGATGAATCCCTCAGTGCCCTGTCCCTCCTGCTGGGATGCATTATCTCCCTGATGGGATGACCTGACCTTCTGTGCCTGGTCTGTCTGTGCACAAGCTGATCCCCCACAGCTGGGGGGGTTGGGCAGTGCAAACTCAGCCCTGGGCCCCCCTCCTCACCCTGCAGGAACAGCTGTTCGTGTTCCCAGCAGGCTCTGAGGGGATCTAGCAGCAAACAGCCCAGATGTGGGGGTGGTCCTGGGGGGCTGGGGCTGCTCAGCTGCCGGGGTGTAGAGCTCAGGCTGTGAGTACAAGCAGCATTCCCAACCCAGCTGGGAGCCCCTTTGCTCCTGGGGCTGGCTGAGGTCCCTTCTCACCCCACAGCCCCCTCGACTCGGTCTACTACCACCGGGAGCTGCTCTGCCACTCTCTGGACAAGCTGCGTGTGGATCTGCTGACCATCACCTCCTGCCATGGCATGCAGGAGAAGCGGGAGCCCCGGCTGGACAAGCTTTTCCCAGACACCAGCACACCCCGGCCTCGCTGCTTCACTGGAAAGAGGGTGCGAGACCACACCAGCGTCGGGGCTGGGCCAGCAGCCCCCGTGGTGGCATCTTACTGCAGCTCTCATGTCTGTGCCCAGAATGGCACCACGCCCCAAGGGCTGGAGCATTTGGGCAGAGTTTGTAGAGCAAAGTCTGTGAGACCCTGTGCTATTGCAGTATCCTGGAGCAGGCAGGACACCCCCCTCACCCCGTCCATTTGTCCCCAGGTGTTTTTCCTCAGCAGCAGAGTCCACCCAGGAGAAACCCCCTCGAGCTTTGTCTTCAACGGCTTCCTGGACTTCATCCTGCGGGAGGAGGATCCCCGTGCCCAAATGCTGCGGAGGATGTTTGTCTTCAAGCTCATCCCCATGCTGAACCCCGACGGGGTGGCACGGGGCCACTACCGGTGAGTGCAGGGCCTGCCCAGGCTCTCCTGGCTGCCAGCCTGCTCTGTGTTTCATGGAATCGTTGGGTTGGAAAAGCCCTCTGAGACCACGGAGTCCAACTGTTCCCCCCAAAAAAAGAAGCAGAAATCATTTATTTGAATAGTGGTTGACATATGTGAGCAAAAGGTGAGTGTCCTTCACTTTTAGGTGTAGATATGGAAAAGGCTGTGAGTTTGCTGAAGAAGGGATCTCAGAAAATTGATTCTAGGATTTTTGTAAAATTTCTAAAAATTGTAGAATCCTGGATTCGCTTGGGTTGGAAAAGCCCTGTGAGCCCATCGAGCCCAACCATCCCCAGCACTGCCCAGGCCACCACTGCCCCATGTCCCCAAGTGCCACATCCACAGGGATTTAAATCCTCCAGGGATGGGGACTCCACCCCTGCCCTGGGCAGCTGTGCCAGGACTGTGTAGTCCTTTCCACGAAGAAAGTGTTCCCAGTATCCAACCTAAACCTTCCCTGGTTCAACTGGAGGCCATGCCCTCTGGTCCTGTCCATTGTTCTCTGGGAGCAGAACCCAGCCCTCCCGCATGGCTCCATCCTCCTGTCAGGGAGTTGCAGGGAGTGACAAGGTCCCCCCTGAGCCTCCTTTTCTCCAGGCTGAGCCCCTTTCCCAGCTCCTTCAGCCTCTCCTGAGGCTCCAGCCCCTGCCCAGCTCTGTTCCTTCTCTGGGGAGGATCGTGCAGGGCTCTGCCACGCTGTGCAGTGTCAGTGTTCTGGCAGCTTTTGGCCAGGACGGAGCCCAAAGCCCTCGGCGTTCCAAGGCGAGCTCAGCTCTGCTGAAGGTGCTCACGTGTCTGCTCTCTCCCCGCAGCACTGACTCCCGTGGGGTGAACCTGAACCGGCAGTACCTGCACCCCGACGCCGAGCTGCACCCCGCGGTGTACGGGGCCAAAGCCGTCCTGCTCTACCACCACATCCACAGCCGTGTCCTGCCAGGCTCTCCGGACTGGAGGACGTTTGTCTCCCCGCTCAGCACCAGCTCACTGAGCATAACATCTCCCAACTGTCCCGTCCCAGCCGTGGAGGGCACGTTATCAGAGCTGGACAAAACCAACAACCTCCGCAACTCCCCCGGCACCTGGCGTGCCAGCACCCACTCGTGCCTGGCCCAGGATGCCCAGCTGTCAGACAGCACAGAGCGAGCCAGCTGGATCCTGCCATCGAGCCACAGCACCGAGCACTGTGAGGAGGGGCCGTGGGCGCCTCCCCCAGCCCCCGTCCCCAAAGCTGCTGAGCCCCCAGAGCCCATTGCACCCCGGGACAGTGGCCTGGCTTACTACGTGGACCTGCACGGCCACGCGTCCAAGCGCGGCTGCTTCATGTACGGCAACAGCTTCAGCGACGAGAACGACCAGGTGAGGGCGCAGCCAAAATCCAGGGCTGCTGTGGCTGCTGGGACACTCCTGCTGCTCTGCCTGCTACTCACAGACCCCAGTGTACCCGCTGCTCGGAGAGGGGCGTGGAATCCCTATCACAGTCACTTCCTTTTCCTTCTCCTTTCCTTCCTTCCTTCTCTTTTCCTTCCTTCCTTCTCCTTTCTTCTTCTTTCTCCTCTCTCTCTTCCCCCAGCCTGGTGACCAGGGCAGGAGGAGGTCTCAGATTGCCCCTGGGAGCTGGAGTGGGCCAGCAGGGTGTCCTCCCATCTGGCTATCAGGAGAGCCCATCAGGAGTTGGGCAGGGGGTGGGCAGCATGCCCTGGGCACAGCTGGAGCTTGTGAGACCCTGGAACTGTGGGCAGAGCAGGCCCTGGTGCAACCCTTGCACTGGAGCAAGATGAGCAGCCAAGGGTCACCCCTGTTGCTCCCTGCACTCTGCAGGTGGAGAACATGCTGTTCCCCAAACTCATCTCCCTGAACTCGCCTCACTTTGACTTCATGGGCTGTAACTTCTCGGAGAAGAACATGTACGCGCGGGACAAGCGGGACGGGCAGTCCAAGGAGGGCAGCGGGCGCGTGGCTGTCTACAAGGCCCTGGGCATCATCCACAGGTAGGGCAGCACCGGGGCCATCCTGGTGGCACCAAGTGCTTGTGCTGGGCGGGGGGTGTTGGACAAATGGGAGCCAGTTCCGTGGGACAGACATGTCCCATGTGGCCCCAGGGTGGGTCAGCAGAGGCTGGGCCTGGTTGTGCCCTGGCTGCTGCTGTGTTCCTGAGACACAGGCTCAACCAGGCTCCTTTCCTTCCTCTTCCTCCCCATCTCTCCTGCAGCTGCTCTGGCCTCTTCTCCCTGCTCTTGCACAGCTTTCTGAGGGGAATTCTCCTCTTTCCTCTCTATATTGAGCTGTAATTAAATCGAGTTGCAGTGAGCACAGCATCCCCATGGCTGTGTGTGAGATTTCAGCCTCAGCCCATCAGTGATCCTGTGATCCACCCCTCTCCCACGTGGGGCAGGATATTCCTGGCCTGTTCCTGTGCTAGGAACATACCATGGGGTGAGGTAAACAGACTGGAGGTTCTCTCTGTTTCCTCAGCGCTTGTTGTCTGCTCAGCTACTGCTTCCTGCCCAGCACTAGTCCAGCCCCACAGGAACAAACACACACGTGGGCTTTGGGCTTGGGTCACTGGGGTACTTTGCTCTGTGACTGACCTGAAGCAGCCTAGGTTGTTGATCCAACAGCGACATCCCAAAAAGTGCTGGGAATGCTCACAGTGCACGTGTGGTCCCTCAGGCAGAATGGAACAGAGCTGCTCAGGTTTTCTGCTGTGCTGGCCCTGCAGCTGTCTCTGGACAGTGGGACAGATGATCTTCCAGAGGTGACCAAGAGGTCACCTCACAGGAACCTTGCCACTTTGGGTGCCACCCTCAGGGCCCCAGACATCCATCCCGAATTCCCATCATGGTGATCTCTGGTACATCCATGCATCCTCACACAGGGAATGGGCCATTCCTGCTATCAGAGGATGCTGTCCTCAAAACCCTGTCACTTAGTCTGCACTTCTGTGTCCTTTGGAGCAGGACCCCCTTCCTGGTGCCAAATGGGACAATGGGACCCCCTTTCCGGTGCCCTGAACCTGCTGAAGTGGCTCTCCCAGGGGAATAATGTGGGATAACCGCAGCCCTACTGTGGGTTTGTGGGGTAACAGGGGCTCCCTCGTGCCCCACAGCTACACCCTGGAGTGCAATTACAACACGGGGCGCTCTGTGAACAGCATCCCTGGGGCCTGCCATGACAACGGGCGTGCCAGCCCCCCGCCACCGCCCGCCTTCCCCTCCCGGTACACCGTGGAGCTCTTCGAGCAGGTACAGGGCCCAGGGGAGCCTGCGTGGGGAATGAGACCCGGAGAGTGGGCTGGGGTTTGGGGCTGGGTTTCTTTCCTCCACTTGCTTTGCTGTCCCAAGCTCTAGGGAGCTGCCCCTCTCCCCATTGCCCCCATTCCCTGGTATTCTCCCTTCCTGGAATCCCCAATTTCCGGTGCCCTCATTTTCCCTCATGCCCCCCCCTTCTCCTGGTGGCTTCCTTTCCCTGTGACCCCCTCACTACTGCTCCTCTCCCCAGTGCCCCCCACTGTATCCTTCCTTCTCTGTGTCCCCCTTTCTGCCCCCATGCTTCCCCTCCTCCCTGCTCCTTGTGCCTTCTCACGCTCAGCCGTGCACCTTTCTCCTGTGCCCCGCACTGTTCCCGCTCTGCTCGTGCCGCCCTCACCTGTGCCCTGTCCCGGGCAGGTGGGTCGGGCGGTGGCAGTGGCAGCTCTGGACATGGCCGACTGCAACCCCTGGCCGCGGATCGTGCTGTCGGAGCACACCTGCCTGGGCAACCTGCGCGCCTGGATGCTGAAATACGTGCGGGGGCTGCGCGGCACCGGCGGGGGCCCGCGGAGGAGAGGAGGTGCCAGGACCCCCCCCAGGAGCTCCACGTAAGGGCCGGCTGGGGCGAGCGTGGGAGCTGCAGGATAACGGCACTTAGAGATGATAAATGTCCCCAAGTGAGTCACCTGCCAGGGTCACCTGCCCTGGCCCTAGCCCTTCCAAGCTCCGGGAACTGCAGTTGTCAGTCCCTCTGCTCCGAGCCATGGGCAGAGAAGGGCAGAGAGTGAACTGGTTGGGATTTGCCTGCCCCAGTAATCTGGGAGGTCTCTCCTGTGTCACCTCCAGCACCGGACTGGTGTGGGAGAGGCAGAGGGAGCTGGGAGGCTCAGCCTGAAGAAGAGGAAGCTCAGGGTTCCTCTCCACAGCTCCCTGACAGCAGGGTGGAGGCAGGTGGGGGTTGGGCTCTGCTCCCAGGGAACGAGGGACAGGACCAGAGGGAACATTTGTGCCAGGGGGAGTTCAGGTTGTATATTGGGAGCAATTTCTTCATGGAAGCGGCTGTCCAGCACAGGGCAGGGGTGGAGTCCCCATCCGTGGAGGGATTTAAAAACCGTGTGGATGTGGCACTTGGGGCTGTGGGTTAGTGGTGGCCTGGGCAGTGCTGGGGATGGTTGGACGCGATGGTGTCTAAGGCCTTTTCCAAACTCAGCAGTTCCATGATTTGGGACTGGGGGTGAGGGAACCCTGAGGCAACGCTGCTGGGACAGCAATGTACGACGCAGGGCACTGGGGCTGCAGCTCTCAGGGACAGTCATGGTGACATCCTTGTCCCCAGCTATTCACCAGCTCCCGAGGACAAGTCCAGGGCTCTGCCAGGGGTGGTGCCGCAGCTGCTCAGCACTCAGTGCTGGGCTGTGATGGTGGGTGGAGGGTGCAGAGGGGAGACCCCTCACCGTGCTGGGCTGACCCCCATCTCTCCCGCCTCCAGTGGGCTGCCCACCTCGGCCTCTGACAACGCACTGGCCCGTGCTAGGAGCTTCAGCAACGGCACCAGTGGGAGCGGGGGCAGCCAGCAGGACTCCCCCCGGATCCGAGCCTCCCCCAGCTTCACCTTTGGCAGCCCCAGGCCTCCGGCTGTGGCCGTGGCCCAGAGCCCCCTGAGTGGCAGCAGCACCCCGGCTCTGGGCAGAGGTAAGCCAGGCTGGGGCCCCCTTGCACGCCTGCTGCGGCGCCTGTCCAGCTGCTGGGCAGGACCACAGCCCTGAGGGAGGCCAGCACCGGCGTGTCCTGGGCTCGGACACAGTGACCGTGGGTTTGTGTGGAACAGGGAGTGTGAGGGGCCCCCGTCCCCACAGGAGGGTCCTGAGCGGGGTCAGGGCTGACACTGCACTGCAACACCTGCAGTTTTACAGCCCTGCTCCTGTTGAGCTCCTGCTCCACAGCACTTCAGCCCTGGCTGGGCAGGAGCCGCTGTTGCTCCACTGGGATGTGGGGGACCCTGAGCACTGGCGCTGCAGGGAGATGCCCCCTTCCATTGCTGGGGCCAAAGGGCTTCTGTGGAAGCCAGCACAGAACACCTTTGCTCAACTTCCCACTGTTTCCAAGCATTCCTGAGGCCAGCAGGGACACACCAAAGTGCCTTTCCCCTCATTAGGCACTAGCTGGGCAACAGTGGGTTGTGACCTGTGGTTGTGGTGAGGTGAGCTGGCAGGGGTCATCAGGGGATTTCCAGCATGCAGAGTCCCCTCTGGTGGGGGCTGATGTGCTGCAGTGGGGTGCCAAAGTCAGGCGAAACCCTGGCTATGCCCCCTGTGCTAGCATTGCCAGTGTGGGGCAGGGCCAGTGGCGGCCGTGCAGCCCTGTGCTCCCATCCACTGTGGGCGTCTGCCTTGGGGACACCGTGCTCCAAAGCCTCCCAGGGCTGGGGGGTAGGTGCCTGGGTGTGCCTGAAGCTGTGCTTGTGTTGACCTCTGCATTCCTCTGGTATCTGTCGTGTTGTCCTCGGGGTTTGCTGCCCAGCCCTCTGTCATGACTGTGTCTTGTCTGCCATGAGAACATGGTGGGGAGGAAATAAAAGGCTGATGTTCTCATGGGCACGTTGTTCCGTCTGTTCCTTTGGCCTGGCCCATCTGGAGCGAGCCCTGGCCCCATCCCTGGCTGCAGGGACTGGGGACACATGGGGGCGTGAGCAGGAACAGACCGCGTGAGCCAGTGGGGCAGAGCCTGGTCCATGGTGTCCCCAGGACCCATTTGGTGGGGTCTCCTGCCTCCCTGGCCCGTGGTCCCCGCTGGCACGGCCTCTTCCAGCAGCGTGAGTACTGCCTGGCACTGGGACCAGGACCCAGCTCTTCCTCCCCTGCCCTGGCATCAGCTTGACCTGCTTCCTGCCTGGCCGCTCCAGACCTCCCTGCTCCAGCTGCTCTCCCACCACCTCCTCCCACCGCTCTCCACCTACGAGGGGCTCAGCACTGTCAGCACCACTGTGTCTGCACGGGGACCAGGGCCCAGGGTTGCTCTGACCCCTGGCTGGTGCCCTCACACTGGCTGTGCCACCCCAGCCTCTGCCCTCCCCAAGCAGTGGGGAAGGAGCTGAGTGCACTTGGAGGCGTGACAGGGATGGCACAGTGTGAAGACCCTGGTCTTGTCCCACCCTCCCCCTTCTTCCTCATGTCCTGCTCCAGCCTGGCCACACCCTGGGGACTTGTGTTCATGCTAGGGTGAGGGGGGTCTCTGCCAGACCCCCAGTGACACCCTCAGTTGCCGTTGGCCTTTGCTGGCTGAGGTTGGCCCCCAGGTTGTGCTGTTTTAGTGCAGGTGAAGCCAGCTGCCACTTGCCAGGACCTCCATTGGCAGCAGGGGCTGTGGCCCATCTTGCCCAGCAGAGGCTCCTGCTTGCAGGGTCCCATTTGCTGCGGGGTCTGGCCCTGGCTTCATCCCAGTGAGCACCCACCTCACTTCTTCAGTAGGAAGGGGAGAAAACTGGGTTGGGATAGACTTCAACCAGGTGAGCAGAAACTGGGAGCAAAACTGAGGCAACTCAGGTGCAGCCAGGCCCCCAAACACCTCCCTCTTCTCCCCCAGCTCCCCTGGCTGAGTGGATGCCCCATGCTCCAGGACATACCCTGGTTCAGAGGGCATGGCTGTGTTCCCAGCTCCTCACTCCTGGCTAAGCCTGGCCAGCATGGTCACACCAGTGCCACGGCAGAAACTTGGCTGGAGCTGGGGCTAATGATGTGCAGAAGCACACAGCACAGCTGGGGCAGAGCCCGTTGCACTGGCAGCACAAGCTGGGATTGAGCTCTGTGCCAGCCACTCCCAGGGTGACCCCTCGGTGTTGGGCTGTGCAGAGGGGCCTGGCCCTGGCAAAGCTGGCAGGGAGGGGCACTCACTGCAGGGTACTGTATCACTAGGCTGTGCCAGTGTGTGCCAGGATGGGCAGCTGGTGACTGTACCATGGCACTGAGCCCCTCGCCAACACGAGCTGAGCTGTATCTCCTCTGTCACACAGGGACTCTGCCCAAGGGCACCCAGGCACCGCTGAGCACTGGCCAGGGACCACGGGAGGCCCAGCGAGGCGTGGGAGAGCTCCAGGATATGGCACCTCTGCAGGTATCAGAGGCACCAGCAGGGAGGGGACCTGGGGGTGCAGCAAGGCCTGTGCCCAGGGAAGGGGCTGCCCCATGGCTCTGCTGGGTAGGCCCTTTGGGGGGGACGTGTCTGGGGGGCTGCCGTAAAGACTGGGAGCCCCCCCACCTGTGGACAGATATTTCTGTCCCACGTATCTTTCCCCAAGACATGGGGAAACCCCAGGGATAAAGAGCTGGCACTGATCCTCTTGCCCCCTCTCCCACAGGTTCTCCCAATGAAGTTGAATGCCCGGAGAGCCCCAGAAAGGCCTGGGTAGGTGCTGCTGCCAGCTGTGGTGTGGGGTCATCTCAGAGCCCTTGCCAACAGTGAGGAAGTGGGAGCCCAGAGCAAAGCTCCTGCCAGGCAGGGAGAGCTGGGTGACTAGACACCCCCACGCAGGGGGCTGTGGGGCACGAGAGGAGCTGGGGCCGCTGGGATCACTGTGCCCCACTGACACCGGTCTCTGTCCCACAGGGCTCTGCATGGACGCCCCCGTGCCCCCCGCGAGGGTGCTGAGCACCGAGGGACCGTTCCTGTGCTGGGGCAGAGGCCTGTACCCCCAGCTACAGCCCCGCCGTACCGGGGAGCTGCGGCGCAGGCAGGGGTCTACCGGCCTTGCTCCGCCCCGTGGCGGCAGCACCTGGACAAGGGCACTGTCCTTGTGGACCCCCTGTCCCTGCCCACGCCGCTGTCCTCCACCACAGCAGCCGAACACCGATCCCACCTTACCCAGCTCCTGCCTACAACTCCTCTCTTCCTGCGCTGAGCCCCCGCCCGGCCCTGCTGAGGGACTCCCGTGCTCCCACCCCAACCCCGCTCCTCCCCGCGGGCCCGGAGGAGGGGCTCGGCCCGACGGGGAGTTTATGACGCCACACGGTTTTGTCGTGTATCATCGTGTTTCTGTTAAAGCTGGTTTGGAAGAAGCTCGGCCTCGCGCCTCTCGGGGCCCCGCCGAGGCACCGTGGGGCAGCGCCGCGGGAGGGAGCGAGGGGCGGCGGCAGCGGCGCCGCTGCGGGGCCATCGCGGTGCGGGGCTTCACCGGGGCTCCCTCACTCCTGCTTCTTGGGGTTGTTGACGGCCACATAATGGTAGAGGACGACGAGGAGGAAGAGCGAGACGCCCAGCATGTTGGCGAAGATGGCGAGCTGCACGTCCGTGATCATCCTGCCGGGGAGGGAGAAACACACACGGTAGCATCCTGCAGGGACCTGCGGAGGGCCCCGCCGCCGGCAGGACCGGCTGAAGGGTCCCTCCCACCCCTGCGGCACGGCGCGGCTCCCGCTCCTGCCTCATTCCCCCGGTGCCCCGTGACTCCCGTTCTTGCCTGTTTCCCCCGGTGCCCCGGCTCCCGCTCCGGGCCCGCCGCTCCGACACGTCTCCCTGCGCGCACCACTTCCGGCCGCTGGGCACGCCGGGAGTCGCCTGGCCCCCCGGCGGTGACGTCACGCAACCGAGCCCCGGCCAAGCGGCGGGCCTGTGGCTGCGGTGACGTCACAGCGCCCAGCCCGCTGCTGATGACGTCACTACCATGGGCGGGGGCATCCCGCCCTGGGAACGCCCCTGGCGCTCCGCCCCCTGGCGGCGGCCGCCGGTTCCTTCTCCATACAAGGCGCGGCGCGAGGGCGGGGCGGGGCCGAGCGGCCCCGGGGCGGCCGCAGCTAATTAGTGCTAATGACACTAGTGACAGCTCCTTACAGCTGATGACAGCGGCCGACGCCGCGGGCTTTTAGCGGGACGGGCTACACTGGGCTGTGCTGAGACGTACTGGGAGGTGCTGGGCTGGGGTGTATGCAGGGGAGTATACTGGAATGTGCTGGGGTGTGTTGGGATGTATTGATGATCTCCAGTCGAGAGGTTCCAGCAGCGAGTCCCCCCGGGGTCCTGCCCCATCCCTGTGCCCCCCACTGTTCCCCACGCTCGGCCGCAGAGCCCCAGCAGGGTCTGGAGTTCCCTGGGACGCGGCAAAGCCACGGCCCCCATGGCCCCCCACAGCTATCCACAGTCTCTGAGAGCCCAGAGGAGGTGACACCATCCCGCCTTGGGAACGGCCACGGCTGGCACCTGGCCAAGCCCACCCCCGGGCCCCTCAGCTCCGCGTCCCCTTCCCCGGTGTCTCCCTCCCCCGCATCCCCCTTCCCCCATGTCCCTTCACCCGCCCCCTCCCCCCTCCAGCTGCCGCCAGCTGTTTGTGTTTAACCCACACTCGCGGCTCCCCGAGGGCGGGGGGTTCCCGCTCCCTGACGTCACCGTGGGGCCGGGGCCAAGGCGTGATGTCACCGTGAGGCCGTGACGTCACTGCATGGTCCGGGGAAGCCATGGCATCACTGTGGGCTCAGGGCCACGGCGGCCCAGGGTGGCCGCGGTGTGACCGCTGGCGCTCCAGTGCCCCGCAGTGTCCCCAGCACGGTGTCAGGGTGGGGCTGGGGGCGCAGGACAGCGCCCGGCTCGGTGCTGGCACCGGGACGTGTCACCAGGCACAGAAAGGGGCACGGGCAGCAGGGACGTGGCACTGCTGCATGTGGCGCTGGTGCTGGGACCTGTCGCTGCTGTGCCCAGCGCGAGGGCACCGTGCGAAGCCGGTGCCGGACCTGGTGCTGGTGGCGGAGCGGTGGCCGTGGGGGAGCGATGGCCGTGGCGGGCCGGTGCCGCAGCGGTAGCCCCGGCCGCCTCGCTGGCCGCCCGCGCCCTGGCCCCCTGCCCGGCCTCTCTGGCTGCCCCAGCCCCGGCCCGGCCTAACGAGGAGCAGATGTGGCGGCGGCGGGGCCGGCGGGGGCCGCGGTGCCCGGCTCGGCTGGGGCGGGGGCCGCTGCGGGCAGGAAGCGGGGGGCCCCGGGGACCCCGCCGGCGGGCAGCGGCGGCGGGGCGGCTCTGGTGGCGAGGGGCTGGCCGAGAGGCGGCCGGGGGGAGGGCAGAGCCGAGCCGAGCCGTTCCGAGCCGCCCAGAGCCGCGGAGCCGCGACGGGACACCACATGCGGTCCTGAGCAGCGCCGGACCAGGCTGACCGAGCCGAGCGGAGCCGCCCCAGCCCAGCATGGCACCCTGGCTCTGGCCGTGCCTTCTGGCCGCACAGGCCCTGGCCGCCAACTTTCCCCCCCGGTATAGCCTCTACACCGGCGGGGCCGCCCCGCTCGCCCCCGGCCCGGCCGCGACCCACAGCGGTGCCCGGGCCGCCAGCCGGCACAGGTAGGAGCCCAGAGCACCGGGACGCAGCGGGGACACGGGCTGCAGCCCCCACCCCGATGCCACGGGAACCCCGGCGCCGGGCAGGCACCGGCACGTGCCACGTCCAGGCCGGGGGGCGGCGGGAGGGGTCCCCTGAGCGGGGGCGTCACCCCCGGGCCCGGCACGGGTGGGCAGTGGGCGCACGTGGAGGGTCGCGGCCGCCGGTGCAGCGGGGCCGAGGATTCCGGGCCGGTCCTTCCCCGGCATCCACGCGTGGGTCAGCGCTGCCGGAGAGGGGGAGAGGCGCCCGGACCTGCCTTCTCCCTATCCCCGTCCTGTCCCGTACCGTGGGCAGCGTGGGGCCGTGGGGCAGCACGTGTCCGTGGGTCGGGGCGTTGCGGGGGCGCAGGGCTGGGGGCGGCCCCACGCTGGATTGGGGTCACAACAAATTCACCGCGGACACATCTGCGCTGCAGCAGCACGGCCGCAGGGCCGGAGCTGCCCCGGCCCCACGGTGGCCCCGGGGGGATGGCAGGACCTGGCCGCAGCGTGGGGTCCCTGGGGAGGGGCACGGACACGGTGCAGCCTTTACCTGCGGCTCTGGGGGCTCAGCGGGGACTCTCCACGGGTTGGGCTGTGCCGCGCTCCATCCCCGCGGCTCGGGGAGCAAGGGGGTGTCCCCACACCTCGCCCTTTCAGGGGAGCTCTGGTCCCATCCCACGCCTGGGATGGGAACAGCCCCGGTGGGGGACGGTGAGACCCCAGGGCAGCCCGGGGGTCCCAGGGCCTCGCGGGTGCAGGGCTGGGATGGGGGGGGGGGGGGGGGGGGGGGGGGGGGGGGGGGGGGGGGGGGGGGGGGGGGGGGGGGAGGAGGGGGGCCGTTGGTCGGCGCAGGAATTCCCGGCGGCCCCCGGGGAGGAGCTGGAATCCAGCCGGGGCCTGAGGGGAACCAGCCGGGCTGACGGGAACCGGCCGCCGCACCGGGGCCCCGCGGCGGGGACCCAGGGCCGAGGGCCGCTCCCCGGGGGGCTGCTCAGTGGGACTGGGGGGCCCGAGCGGGGCCCGGGCTCCGGGTCCGGACCATATAAGGCTGCGACGGGGTCCCTGCAGCGGGGCCAGCCTGGAGTCCCACGCGGGGGGGCTGGGGTCCCCACAGCCTGTGGCGCTGGGCTGGGCACCCAGCGTGTGGCTGCCCCATCTGCTCCTGCCCCAGCGGCACAGGGAGGGCGGGGAACACGGGGTCAGTGATGGGGCAGCATCCTGGGCCAGGCAGCGCAGGATGCGCAGCACGGTATGATGGGGTGTGGGCACCCTGCGCCTGGCAGAGCCCCATCCCTGCAGGGCTCCCGGGGGCAGCCGCATGGCTGGGGGCTGCAGCCGTTTCTGCAGGGTCGCCAGGCAAGGTTGAGAGGCTGTGGTGGGGCGAGATCCGGCCCATTAACCCGCTGCACTGGGCCATGACGGTGCTACCGGTGGGGCTGGTTGGGCAAGCACAGGAGTACGCCGGGGGATCCGGGGTGTGGCCAGAGGGGCCGGAGTGCGCTGGGGGATGCGGGGTGTGCCTGGGGAGCTGGCGGGTGTCAGAGACACCCATGGGACCGGGGGTGTTGCTGTGTCTCTGACGGAGTGATACCTGGTGTGTGACGGGATGCTGTGCATGGTGTGTGCCGGGACAATGCCTGCTGCGGGCTGGAGTGATGCTAGGTCCATCTTAGGGCAGTGCCAGTGGCTGCTCTGTGCCGGGATGATGCCTGGTGTATGCCAGGAGAACGCGCAGTGTGTGCCCAGATGATGCCCAGCGTGTGCCATGCTCGGTCCAGGCAGGACAATGCCTGGTGTGTGCTGAGGTGATGTCCCGTGCCAGCGCATCCCGGGTGTGTGCCATGAGCCCTTCCCTCCGGCAGGAACTGGTGTGCCTACGTGGTGACACGCAGCGTGAGCTGTGTGGTGGAGGATGGCGTCGAGAGCTTCATCAAGCCGGACTATCAGCCCTGCGCCTGGGGGCAGCTCCAGTGCCCCCGTGTCCTGGCGTGAGTGGGGTCGGGATGGGGCTGGAGGGTTCTGGAGGGGTTCGGGGCACAAACCGGGTTTCTGGGGGGGCCAGCACAAAGCCAGGGCGAGCTGCGGCCGCACCGCCGCCACTGGTGTTTACCCACCCTGGGGTCATGTTTACTTTTGCGCAAGAGTCAGTGACCTCACTGTAGTGCCGGAGAGTGACCGGCCACTGTCCCCCCCAATCACGTGCAGCCAAAACCCTGGGGCACCGCGCAGCTCTCTGGACCAGTGCTGGGGTGACATTGGTGTCGGGGTGACGCTGGTGACAGGGTGACAGGGCTGGACAAGGGCAGCTCCCCAGCCGCCAGCCATTGAGCAGGACAGCGGCGCTGCTGGGTCAGGCTGCCGCCTGTGCTGGCTTTGGTTCTCTGGGGCAGCCCCACGCCCCTCCTGGCATCCCCCAGCCCCCATCCTCCGCCTGCAGGTACCGCAGCTTCCTGCGGCCCCGCTACAAGGTGTCCCAGCGAACGGTGTCGGAGCTGGCCTGGCGCTGCTGCCAGGGATACTCGGGTCCGGACTGCAGCGAGGGGCCTTCTCCAGCATCCCCACAGCCCACCGGCCGTCCCCCGCCCCGGCCCGGCCGCCCCACACTCTCTGGCTTCGGCAACCCCCTCAGTGGCCTGGGGGGTGAAGGTAGTGCTGGGGCGGGGGATGTGCTGGATGATGCTGGTGGGGGAATGCGTTGTGTCGGTGACCGTGACCGTGACCCTGGGGGTGCACGGCAGGCGGCGGAGACACGGAGAAGGTGCGACGGCTGGAGGAGCAGGTGCGGCGGCTGAGCGAGCAGCTGGAGGAGCTGCGGGCCGGGCAGGAGCCGCCCCGGGCGGCTGTGGAGGGGCAGCCCGGGGGCGAGCAGCCGGCTGACGCGGCCGCCCCCGCCGAAGTGCGGGAGGCGCTGAGCCACCTTCAGCGGCGCCTGGAGGAGCTGGAGACCCGCCTGCGGCGCACCGAGGGCGGCCGGGACGGCCCGGGGGGCCCGGGGACGGCGGCGCTGTACGAGCTGGAGCAGAGGCTGCAGGAGCTGTGCGCTGCGTGCACCACCGGCACCGAGGGGCTGCGGCGGCAGGCGGCCGAGGACCGGGAGCGAATGCGGGCGCTGGAGAAGCTGGTGG